AAAAAAAATAAATAAAAATTTTTAAAAAAATAAATAAATAATAAATCTTTTCTGTCCATTTTTGCCACAACCAGTGAATGGCAGGGCCAAGAGACAAGTAAACGGGGGCCTGCAGTCCAGTGTCAACTGCGGAAGATAGGCTCTTCTCAGAAGGGATGTTTAGGTTGGGTCTTGAAGGTAAAGTTGGGGTTGGGGAATTGTGGAGGCTATTCTCAGAGGTGTTTTAAGTTCGGGCTTGAAGGTAGAATTCTGGTTGGGGAAATGTGGAGAGAGCCCCTGAAGCTGCATTTCAGGGTCCTTAGAGCTTGCAGATGTTCCCTGGGGTAGAATGGGGGTAGGGGACAAAAAGCAAGAGGGTTTTGGAAGTGAGGTTAAAGGACCCAAGGTAGCAAAGCCTTGAGGGCTTAGAGGGGAAAGATGGATCTGGAGCTGGAACTCACAGCAGTGGACCTGGGCTTGAGGGAAAGGAGATGGGACTGGCTTCATTTCCTAGCTTGGGTGACTGCAGGACAGTGTCACTAAGATGGGGTGCAGGGTAAAGAACAAGATAGGAGCTGAAGTGGGGGCAATTGTTACACCCGTCTGGACATGCTGAATGTTAGGTCAGCATGAGAAAGGTGATTGGCAATAACAGAGATATCAGTCTGGAGTCCATGACACCATGTCCAGAAGAAAGCACATAAGAGTCTTAAAAGTGGCCGGTGCCAGGCGTGGTGGCTCATACCTGTAATCCCAGCACTTTGGGAGACCCAGGTGGGTGGATCACCTGAGGTCAGGAGCTCCAGACCAGCCTGGACAACATGGCAAAACCCCTACTCTCTACTAAAAATACAAAAAAAATTAGCTGGGTGTGCTGGCACATGCCTGTAATCCCAGCTACTCAGGAGGCTGAGGCAGGAGAATTGCTTGAACCAGGAGATGGAGGTTGCAGTGAGCAGAGATCGCCCCAGTGCACTCCAGCCTCAGTGATAGTGAGACTCTTGTCTCAAAAAAAAAACAACAACAAAAAAGGCCAGGTGTGGTAGCTCACGTGGTAATCTTGGCACTTTGGGAGGCAGAGGCAGTAAGACTGCTTGAGGCCAGGAGTTTAAGACTAACTTGGGCAACATGGTGAGACCCCCATCTCCACTAAAAATAAGGAAAAGGAAGAAAACCAGGTAAGCATCTTATCTGGGAAATCTAGAGGAAGGTGTTTCAGGGAGTGGGGAGGGTCAGCTGCTGCTCTGGTGCCCGCTGCATTTGTAATGAGGGTGGGGATAAGTGGTGAGTAATTTTAGTGGAGGGGAATCGTGAAAGCCAGCCAGGAGGCAAGGTTGTAAATGGGACAGTGGGGAAGCAGAGTCCGGGAGTATAGACAACCCTTTGAAGAGGCTGCTGGAGGTTTGATGGTTTCGCTTTTGTCAACAGGGAAGGAACTCACATGTCCTTTCTGCACAGGTAGGAAGGGCTAATGAAGAGAAGCTGATCATACAGAAGGGAAAGCAGACATCCAATCAAGGAGAGGAAGGAAACCAGGGCTTCATAAGGATGCTTATCACTGGAGAGCCAGAGGAAAGGCAGGTTTGGGCACATAATCTGATGCGTTGTTTTAGCTGGGAAATAAGAATGGGAGTCACTAGCTAAGAAACGTAAGAGAGCAAGGCCAGGAAAGGAGAATGCCTCAGTTTACTAACGTGGAGACTGGCTCAGAGAGGCAGCAAGTCAGCAACCATTGTAGATTCAGAGAATATAGATGTCCCTTGGTGTACACAGGGGACTGTTTCCAGGACATACCCCACCCCCACCATATACCCAAATCCACACATAACCCCTAGTCAGCCCTGCAGAACCCACATATAGGAAAAGCTGGTCCTCCACATACATGGGTTTTGCATTCCACAAATACTGTTTAGTTGATCCATTATAGATCCATGTTTAGTTGAAAAAAATTCAACCAACCAAATGTGGACTCACGCAGCTCAAACCCGTGTTGTTCAAGGCTCAACTATAGTTTAAAGGTCCTTTCCCCAGCATGAGCCTACCCTGTGATGGAGGCAGCCAGAGGTATCTCAGGAAAAAGTGATGTGCCCAAAGTCACACAACAGGCAAATCTGATGCACTCACACACTATTTTTTTTTTTTTTTTGAGGCAGAGTCTCACTCTGTTGCCCAGGTTGGAGTGCAGTGGCGCAATCTCAGCTCACTGCAACCTCTGCCTCCCGGGTTCAAACAATTCTCCCTGCCTCAGCCTCCCAAGTAGCTGGGATTACAGGTCCCTGCTACCATGCCCAGCTATTTTTTGTATTTTTTAGTAGAGATGGGGCTTTACCACCTTGGCCAGGCTGGTCTTGAACTCCTGACCTCAGGTGATCCGCCCGCCTTGGCCTCCCAAAGTACTGGGATTACAGGTGTGAGACACCATACCCTGAAACACTATCATTTTTTTTTGTTGTTGAGACAGGGTCTCGTGATATTGCCTAGGCTGGAGTGCAGGGCATTATCTCAACTCATTACAACCTCCACCTCCTGGGTTCAAGTGATCTTCCTGCCTCAGCATCCCTAGTAGCTGCGATTATAGGTCTGTGCCACCATGCCCGGCTAATTTTTGTATTTTTAGTAGAGACGGGATTTAACCATGTTGGCTGGGTTGGTCTTGAACTTCTGACATCAGGTGATCCACCATGCCTGGCCCTCAACACTATCTTTAGGTGGAGAGGAAAAACAATGAATTGGCTTTGGTGCGGCAGGGTGGGTAGCCTTTACTTTTACCAAGGAGGAAGCCCTATTTCGCCCCAAATCAGAGACCTGACCCTGATTTCTTCCTCTAGTCCCCTGATAGTTGAGAATAAATGGCAAACAAGGCCAGGTGTGGTGGCTCACGCCTGTAACCCAGGCACTTTGGGAGGCCAAGGCAGGTGGATCACGAGGTCAGGAGTTTGAGGCCAGCCTGGCCAACAGTGAAACACTCTCTACTAAAATTACAAAAATTAGTTGGGTATGGTGGCACATACCTATAGTCCCAGCTACTCGGGAAGCTGAGGCAGGAAAATTGCTGGAACTTGGGAGGTGGAGGTTGCAGTGAGCTGAGATCATGCCACTGCACTCCAGCCTGGGTGACAGTGAGACTCAGTCTCAAAAAAATATATAAAATAAAAAGGTAAACCAGCCAGGCTCAGTGGCTCATGCCTGTAATCCTAGCACTTTGGGAGGCCGAGGCGGCGGATCACCTGAGGTCAGGAGTTCAAGACCATCCTGGCCAACATGGTAAAAGCCCATCTCTAATAAAAATACAAAAATTAGCCGAGTGTGATGGCGGGCACCTGTAATCCCAGCTACTCAGGAGGCTGAGTTATGAGAATCACTTGAACCTGGGAGGCAGAGGTTGCAGTGAGCCAACATTGTGCCACTGCACTCCAGCCTGGCCTACAAGAGTGGGACTCTGTCTCAAAAGTAAGTAAATAAATAATAACAATAAATAAAATAAAGAATTTAAAAAAGGCAAATAGGTAATAACAATGACCACAAACTTACCAAGTATAGTTTACCACGTGCCAGGCCTGCCCTGAGCACTCACATAACTCACTGAAACCTCACAACCCTATTGGGCAGGCACTATTCTCTTTATTTTACAGACGAGGAAGCTGAAGTGCAGAAAGATTAAGTAATTTGAGTAATGTCATCCAGCTTGCAAGTGTCAAAGATGGCATTTGAACCCAGACAGCCTGGCTCCAGCATCTGGACTCTTACAGTCTCCAATCTCTAAAAGGAGAGGAAGGAACTTATATGACATTCTACTGGGAATTTTCTAGAAACCAGATATCTCTGCCCTACAGGCAGAAGGTACAACAGGGAAACAAGAATGGGGCTCAGAGGCACCCCTGGTCCCCTCACCATCACCTGCTGAGACAGAGAGCCTCCCTTGGCCATCCAGGAAGAATCTAGAAGTTATCACTCAAAACCACTTTACTGGGAGAGCAAACATCAGGAGGCAACCTTCTAGAGGCTGCTGAGCTTCAGACCTCAGGAAGTGGAGGCCTCAGGCCCATGATCTATTCGGAAAAGACTAGAAAAAGGCTCCAGGGCCAAGCCACCCTCTGTTCCTCAGACCCTACCCTGAGTTGCAAGTCCTATGGCCATCTTTCTAGGTTGAGGCCTGGCCCGTGGAGTCACAGGGAAGGTCCGGGGGCCCCACAGCCTGGTCTTCAGAGATGGTCCCGTGGGGCAATTCTGTATACTTGCGGGAAGAGCTGCGGGCCAGATGGGCTGGGTAGCGTCGCCGGTTGATGTCCATTTTGGAGAGCACTGCTTGGGGCAGATCCACGCGGCAGCGGGCTGCTAATGCCACCAGGTAGATGAGGACATCACTAAGCTCCTCTTGAAGGGCAGCCCGTTCCCTGGAGGACCAGCCTTGGGGACCAGGCTCCCCATCGGTTTTCCACTGACTAGGGGCAGAACACAAACAGACACACACTCAGATGTAACCTAGGGCTATGGGCTTTGCCAGTCCTTGCAGTAATAAGGCCCACCTCCAAGGACGACCCAACCCATCTGGGCCCTGGGAAGAGTCAGGTGGGGAAGAGACCCCAACAGATGATACCAAGATGTCTATGTCACTTCGTGGGCCAAGGTGTGGCCAAATGAACATTTCATTTGTTAAGACAAAACTTTGAGACAATTCTAATTCTCCCCAGCCCTAGCCATCACCACCCCAGATCAAACCTCAGACCAGGACCAGTGCAGAAGCCGCCCCACTCATCTCCCTGCTAACTCATCTTCTACTCCCATCCAAACCATCTTTTTTTTTTTTGAGATGGAGTCTTGCTCTGTCGCCCAGGCTGGAGTGGAGTGCAATGGTGTAATCTCACCTCATTGCAACCTCCACTTCCCGGGTTCAAGCAATTCTTCTGCCTCAATTCTCCCTTCCACAGTAGCTGGGATTACAGGCATGTGGCACCACACCCAGTTAATTTTTGTATTTTTAGTAGAGACGGGTTTTGCCATGTTGGCCAAGCTGGTCTCGAACTCCTAACCTCAGGTCATCTGCTAGCTTCGGCCTCCCAAAGTACTGGGATTACAGGTGTGAGCCAAGGCACCCGGCCCAGACCGTCTTTTTTTTTTTTTTTTTTTTTTTTTAATTCTTTTACTCTACAGTGTTCAGCAGGACCGGACCATCTTTTAAAAGCACAAATTAGGCCAGGCATGGTAGCTCACACCTGTAATCCCAGCACTTTGGGAGGCTGAGGTGGGTGGATCACAAGGTCAGGTGTTCAAGACCAGCCTGGCCAAGATGGTGAAACCCCAACTTTACTAAAAATACAAAAAACTTAGCTGAGTGTGGTGGCGGGCACCTGTAATCCCAGCTACCTGGAAGGCTGAGGCAGAGAACTGCTTGAACCCGTGAGGCGGAGGTTGTAGTGGCCGAGATCGTGCCACTGCACTCCAGCCTGTGACAGAGACTCCATCTCAAAAAAAAAAAAAAAAAGCACAAATTACATTTTGCTCCTTCCCTGCTAAAATCCAAACTGTGCTTGGAATACAATCTAAACTCCTGACCAAGCCCTCCTGTCCTTCATGGGCTGCCCCTGCCTTTTCCAAGGCCATTGCTCACCACTGTCTCTCTTACTCCCCACCCAAGGCCACTCTAGCTTGTTCCACCTTGCACACAAGCCAGGCTGTCACAGGGCCTTTGCACTCACAGCTCCCTCTGCCTTGAACGCTTCCCCCTTCCCCATCAGTCCCAGGGCTAGGTCCTTCCTGTTATTCAGGTCTCAGCCTAGGTGTCACCACCTGGCTTATCACCTTGTGGTTTTTGGGTGTTTTTTTGAGATGGAGTCTCACTGTCACCCAGGCTGGAGTGCAATGTCGCAATCTCGGCTCACTGGAACCTCTGCCTCCTGGTTCAAGTGATTCCCCTGACTCAGCCTCCTGAGTAGCTGGGATTATAGGCACCTGTGACCACACCCAGCTAATTTTTGTATTTTTAGTAGACAGGTTTTCACCATGTTGGCCAGGCTGGTCTTTTGTTTGTTTGAGATGGAGTCTTGCTCTGTTGCCCTGACTGGAGTACAGTGGAACAATTTCGGTTTTCTGCAACCTCCGCCTTCCAAGTTCAAGCGATTCTCCTGCCTCAGCCTCTCAAGTAGCTGGGACTACAGGCGCTGCCACCGTGCCCAGCAAATTTTTGTATTTTTTAGTAGAGATGGGGTTTTTATCATGTTGGCCAGGTCTTAAATTCCTGACCTCAGGTGATCCACCCCCCCACCCCAGCCTCCCAAAGTGCTGGGATTATAGGGGTGAGCCACTGTGCCTGGCCCTTTTTTGCTTTTTTAAGAGAGTCTCACTCAGTTGGCTAGGCTGGAGTGCAGTGGCACGATCCTGGCTCACTGCAATCTCCACCTCCTAGGTCAAGCAATTCTTGTGCCTCAGCCTCCTGAGTAGCTGGAATTACAGGCATCTACCACCACACTTGGCTAATTTTTGTATTTTTAGTAGAAATGGGGTTTCACCATGTTGGCCAGGCTGGGTCATCGCCTTGTGTTCTTTCCTCATAGAATTTGTCATAATTCCAGATCTTCTAAAATGAAATTACTAGGCCGGGCGCGGTGGCTCAAGCCTGTAATCCCAGCACTGTGGGAGGCCGAGGCAGGTGGATCACGAGGTCAAAAAGATCGAGACCATCCTGGTCAACATGGTGAAACCCCGTCTCTACTAAAAATACAAAAAATTAGCTGGGCATGGTGGCGTGTGCCTGTAATCCCAGCGACTCAGGAGGCTGGGGCAGGAGAATTGCCTGAGCCCGGGAGGCGGAGGTTGCGGTGAGCCGAGATCGCGCCATTGCACTCCAGCCTGGGTAACAAGAGCGAAACTCTGTCTCAAAAAAAAAAAAAAAAAGAAATTACTGATTTATTGTCAATCTCCTTTCACTGTGAAGGCAGAAACCTAGCACATAGCTGATGTTCATAAATCTGTCATGAGGCCATATGCAGTGGTTCAACCTGTAACCCCAGTGCTGTGGGAGGCTGAGGCAGGTGAACCGCTTGAAACCAAGAGTTTGAGACCAGCCTGGGCAACAACAGCGAGACTCCATCTCTACAAAAAAATAAAAATAAACAAGCCAGGCTTGGTGGTGGTACACGTCTGTAGTCCCAGCTATTCGGGAGGCTGAGACGGGAGGATCGCTTAAGCTCCTGAGGCTGCAGTGAGCCATGATCACGCCACTACATTCCAGCCTTGGCAACAGAGTAAGACCCTTACTCTTAAAAACAAACAAAAAAAATCTGTCCTGGTGCAGTGGCTCACACCTGTAATCCCAGCACTTTGGGAGGCCGAGGCAGGTGGATCACCTGAAGTCAGGAGATGGAGACTAGCCTGGCCAACATGGTGAAACCCTGTCTCTACTAAAAATACAAAAAATTAGGCAGATGTGGTAGCACTCGCCTGTAGTCCCAGCTACTCAGGAGGATGAGGCAGGGGAATCACTTGAACCTGGGAGTCGAAGGTTGCAGTGAGCCATGATGGCTCCACTGCACTCCAGCCTAGCAACAGAGCAAGACTCCCTCTAAAAAAAGGCCAGGCATGATGGCTCACGGCACTTGTAATCTCAGCACTTTGGGAGGCGGGCGGATCACCTGAGGTCAGGAGTTCAAGATCAGCCTGGCCAAACATGGTGAAATCACATCTCTACTAAAAGTACAAAAATTAGCCAGGTGTGTTGGTGGGCGTCTGTAATCCCAGCTACCCAGGAGGCTGAGGCAGGAGAATTGCTTCAACCTGGGAGGTGGAGGTTGTAGTGGGTTGAGACAGCGCCACTGCACCCCAGCCTGGGCAACAAGAGTGAGACTCCATCTCAAAAAAAAAAAAAAATAAATAAAAATAAAAATCTGTAATAAATAAATAACTTGGCTAGGCGTGGTGGCTCACGCCTGTAATTCACACACTTTGGAGGCCAAGGTGGGCGGATCACCTGAGGTCGGGCGTTCAAGACCAGCCTGACCAACATGGTGAAACCCCGTCTTAAATAAATAAATAAATAAATAACTTGCCCTCACACATATCTCTGTGTCCATTTTCCTTTATTCCCTGTGATTGTCCTGGTCTAGGCCTCATCGCCTCTTGCCTGGTCTACACCAGTGAACTCTCCCGTGTCCCCTGCCCATTCTCTCAGTGATCCATCCAATCTACCCTATAGATACCTGGTCCAGTATCTACAGGATATCCAAACTCTCCATCACGCTCTAGCCCTAATCCCATCTTTGTGGGTTCATCTCCCAGCCCTCTCCTCCACAACCCTATCACTCATCCAACACATGTCTACTGAGTGCCTACAATACGCTGGGCACTTGGTACACATTAGAAAAAACAGATCCCAAATCCCTGATTTTTCCCGAGATGCTTACACTGAAGGAATATCAGATTCTCCCTGAATTGAATGTGCCCTTTCTTCCCTCACTGTCTCTGCAAATGTATTTCCCATGTCTGGAATACCACAGGAAGGTCCTCTACAGAATACCTTCCTTTCAGCCCCAGAGGCAAAGGAAAAGGGTTGTTGGGCCAGGCTGTAATCCAACACTTTGGGAGGCCAAGGCAGGTGGATCACCTGAGGTCAGGAACTCGACCAGCCTGACCAACATGGCGAAACCCCGTCTCCACTAAAAAAATATAACAATTAGCCAGGTGTGGTGGTGGGTGCCTACACTCCCAGCTACTTGGGAGGCTGAGGCAGGAAAATTGCTTGAACCCGAGGGGCGGATGTTGCAGTGAGCCGAGATTGCGCCACTGCACTTCAGCCTGGGCGACAGAGCGAGTCTCCAAAAAAAAACAAGGAAAAGGGTTGTTGCCACTACTTGTTCCTAGATAGAAAACGGGACCTGCCCGCTACTCTCACACCTTTCTCTTCCAGGAGGCTGGGCGCCCCTAGAGGGCAGGACCCGTGAGTTCTCTCTGCATCCTCGGCACCAGCAAAGAGCCTTGCAATGAGGAAGGGAAATTGAACCCATGAATGTCTGAAGACCAAATAAATGTTCCCCTCCCCTCTCCCACAACATAGACACGTCCAGGAAGCTTTCCATCAACTCACAAGAGTTCTGCCAGCTCCCCAACTTCCCCGACCAAGGCCAGGAGGAGGTTCCGAGGCTGATGGAACTGTTCCCAGTCTCGTTCAGCAGCAAACTCAGCATGGAGGCGGCGGCTGAAATAGGAAAAAGGGATGTAAGCCCAAGTCTCAGGGATAAAGGGTGATGCAGGGGCCAGAGGCAGGTACCCCAGTGGTATGTAATGGGGGCCTGGGACTAGGAGATTCTGGAATTAGTTGATTGGATGGCCTTAGGCAGGTCCTGTCCACTTTCCGGAACTTGGTTCCCTCATCTGTAAAATGGGCATGCCCCTGAGCCGCCCTTAACATCTCGCCAAATCTAACAAAACCCTCTTCATTTTTCCATCTCCTGCTGCTACTTCTGCAGTTTCCTCCACCTGGAAATGCCGCACATCAAAATCCAATTTCCCTTATAGAATGTAGTTCCACAGGCACTTCCTCTAAGAAGCCTTCCTTGTCTTCCTCCAGCAAAAAATAAGGTCTCCCACCTCTCAGCACTTAGTTTGACCCTCTCGTACCCCCAGCCCCTGGAGACCACAGGCGGTATCGGGCGCCAATATCTTCCCAGAGCTAGGTTGAAGGGCGTTCCTAGTACCACTTGGGGGCGTCACCCAATTTCCCTTGCCTCAGGTGTGCACCGCTGCGCCCATTTTGCAGATGAGGTAAGAAGGCTCGCCTGGGGACAGTTCGCAGAGCCAGGATCCGAGCCCTGCTGCCATCCCGCTTCCCAACCACGTGGAGGAACCCTCCCCAAAACGCGGGAGAAAGGGATGACCTCCCCACCCCGAGCTGGGCCAGGCCTGCTTACATGTCCTCGAGCGTGGGCTCCGGGCTGAAGCTGAACCGACCCGCAGCAGCAGTGCCCTCGCCCCCCGTGTCCCCAGGAGTCTCCCCACCGGCCGCAGACATGCCGTAAACCCGCTGCAGCCGCGATTGCACCGAAAACACAAGCGCCACGCTCAAAGCCCCGCCTCCAGAACTCCTGCCAATCACGGCCGTTCTCTATTGCCTTAAGGGGCGGAGCCTGAGAAAAGAGACCAATGACTTCTCTGGAGTTTGCTACAGCCCGCCCCTTCCCACACTGGGCCAATCTGAGGGAGCTTCTAGCGCGCGCTTCCAGTCTCAGGCCCTGGAATTTTTCCGCTAGACCCTGCTTAAGGTCTTAAAGGTATAGGTACCAATTCGACCTGGGAAAGAGACGAACGGCAGAGGGCGGGGGGAGCGCAGGCGCATCACTTCCTTCATGGGCGCCAGAGGGCGCCAAAGCGGATATGGCGGCGGAAGAGGGTCCGCCGGGTGGAAAACCCATATATAAATGAAGGGCCCTTTGCATAGATATTAAATCTCTCAGGGGTTAAGGATGTTAAGAACCCTCTAGGCTTACTCCCACACTGTTTGGATGAGATTGAAGAGAAGAGAAAGAGTGGAGTAAGATCAGACCGGATTAGGACTCGAGTCTTGGGTCGCACTTCAGCTCCCCGCCACCACTATGTCCTGTGGTTGAAACGATGGAGGTCGCTCCATCCCTCTCCTAAGGAAGGCAGTAGGCCCCAGTGCAGCATACATTGCCCTAAACACGTGGCCCGTTTATGGTCTGGCCTGTGCCAGCCTCTCCAGCCTCATGGGTCCCCAGGACGACTCCTCCACCCCACACACCGGGCAACTCCAGACTCACTCACACCAGAGAATACGCTAGGTGGCGAGACACAGAGTTGCTGCTTTCAAATCAGAACCACTGAGTTATTGGCCATGGAAGGAGCAGAGATCTTTATGAACTCTAGAATAGGTGTAGTCTTACAAAGAATGATTTATGATAGTCCCCTTATTAGGGCTACTATCTCTGATTTCCCGATGTTTAAAGAGGCATCTAGCTTGGTGGAAGTAAAAGAGAAAGTGCAGGAAAAGGCAGAGTCAGGTTTTGGAAATTAAAACCCCAAGGCTGTGACAACTGCAATTCTAGGTATAAGCCCTAGATAAACTAATGAATATATGCAGAGAGACATATACAAGAAGTTCATTATAGTTTTGTTTGTAAGAGTGAAAAACAATTGAAAATAAAATGACTATCAATGGAAGAATGGGTACATGGTGCTATATTTATACAAATGATATTATCCAACAGTTAAAATTGAATACCTGCAACAGAAATAAGTTTAAACTGGTTTTAGCAAGAAAAAGAAATCTATTATTTTAATTTTTTTAATAGATAGGGTTTCACCATGTTGCCCAGGCTGGTCTTGAACTCCTGGAGAATTGCTAGAGCAATCCTCCCACCTCGGCCTCCCAAAGTGCTGGGATTACAGGCATGAGCCACCTCCACCAGCCAAAAGGAATTTATGTTGTAACCGAGCAAGTGCGAAATCACCACTGAGACAAAAACTGGGCCAAATTACAGGGTCTTTATTGCTGGCGGCCACAGAGGACTCGCATCTCTCTAACCCGTGGCCCCGAAAGGAGGGTGTCAAGACCTTTTATGCCGGTAAACCACCTCCTGGGCACGGGTGAGGGCGAGGGGCTTTGGACATTCCGAGGGCCAGGGTACCTTGGACATTGCGATTGTTATTTAAGTGGTTCACAGAAGTCAAGATAAGCGTAATTTACACATTGTCTGGGTAGGGTGGAAAATTACAGACCTTAGTCACTTATTACAAGTCTTAGTTTTTCTTAAAATGGGGCAGAGTTTTTCTTAAAATGGCACAGGGGCCAAATGGCCTTGGTTTGGACTGCTTGCCTGTCACATTAGGGTTACAGAGAGCAGTTTCAACGGAAAGCGGAGGTATGGTCGAGGTATGCAGTTTATGGGGCAATTTTCATGTCACATTTATTTTAAGGATACATGAATGTCTCCAGGATACAGCAGGACCTCAGGAATGAACTGGAACTAGAGTAGCTGTTTTAAGCATTTTACGTATTTAATCCTCACAGCAACTCATTTAATCCTCACAACAACCTGTATGGTAGGTTGTTAGTTACCAGCCCCAACCCTGTACATGGGTGCCCTTAGTTCCGGTCGTGACGAGGGATTGAGAAAAGGAAATAAAGACAGAGACACGGCTGGGTGAGTTGGCTCACGCTTGTAATCCCAGCACTTTGGGAGGCGGAGGCGGGCGAATCACCTGAGGTCAGCAGTTCGAGACCAACTTGGCCAACATGGTGAAACCCCGTCTCTTAAAAAAAAAAAAATTAAAAAAAAAAAGAGAGCCGGGCGCGGTGGCTCACGCCTGTAATCCCAGCACTTTGGGAGGCCGAGGCGGGTGGATCATGAGGTCAACAGATCGAGACCATCCTGGTCAACATGGTGAAACCCCGTCTCTACTAAAACTACAAAACATTAGCTGGGCATGGTGGCGCATGCCTGTAATCCCAGCTACTGAGGAGGCTGAGGCAGGAGAATTGCCTGAACCCAGGAGGCGGAGGTTGCAGTGAGCCGAGATTGCGCCATTGCACTCCAGCCTGGGTAACAAGAGCGAAACTCTGTCTCAAAAGAAAAAAAAAAAAAAAAAAGGAGAGACACAAGAGTACAATTTACAGCATGGGTCTAGGGGACCATGTTAGCCCGAGCTCTGGGCTTCAAACACTTTTATTATGTGCATAATCTCATTGATCTTATGGTCATGGAAAGGGTAGGTAAGGTGCAGGGGAGAGCACTTGAGATCCTTCTAAGACATGCTAAAGTAGTGCTCTGAGCATTTAACAGCACTTGAGATCCTTCTAAGACATGTTAAACTAGTAGTCTGAGTTTATCACCGATTGTTAGCAGGGTGCGGCAGCATCAGAAGTAGAGCGGATGAGGAGCCACCCAGTCTGACCACACCCAGTGCATCCAGGGGCTTTTATCTCCCAAGCACTGAAGACACAAAGCAATTAAAATCACTGCATATTCTGAGAACCTAGGCAGAGCCTGAGGAATTCCGTGATCTCTGCCCTTGAGGCTTTTCTCCTTGCCAGCTCCCATCTGCCAAGACCCTCCTGGATATTGTGAGCAGAGGTCGCCTCCCTTCTCAGAGATCTTTGCATAAGCCCTCTTTACGAGACCCTCATGCAGTCTCCATGTTGAGAAGGCATTCGTGGGACCAGAGCAGTATTGCCTGCTCTGCAACCACCCCTCGGTGTGCCCCAGTGTTACTGTGCTCTCGGATGGTCTTTACCTTAGGCCTCCTGTTACTGCTTGATTTCTAATTAACTGCACCAATAATATAGTTTAGTTCGGTGTGTAAACTTCAGTGTACTCTGCACCAAGCAAGCTTATAATTATTTAGCTAGAATTAACATAGGTCTCTCCCTGGCCATCTTGACTCACAGTAGGTAATATTATTCTTATCCTCATTTTAAAGATAAGGAAACTGAGAGGTTAAATAACTTAACAGCTAGTAAAGTGGTAGAGCTGGTGTCAAATCCAGACAGTTTAGCGTCACTGTCTGTTATTAGACCCTATGCAGTACTGCCTGAAATTGTGATATTGTGCTGGCCTAGAGCCAGAACCGGAGCAAAACTATTTTATAAAATGCAAAACTGTTTTTAGATAAGTTGAAATGGCTGCCCCATTCTCCTTACAATAACTGCTGTCCTTGGCCTCTGTAAATAGAACTGCTAGTTTGTTCTTCAAAACTATGTAAAGCTGCTTACCTTTTCTTATCAGTAACTGCTAAAATCTGTGATGTGTAAACAAATGTATATCTTGACTTCTGTAAACCACTGAGGTGAATCACAGAATCCCCTAGCCCTTGAAATGTCCGAAACCTTATCATCCCCATCCCTGCCCCTCACCCCCACTCCCAAGGTGGTTTTTCGGATATAAAAAATCATGGCACCCTCCTTTTGGCACCACAGGTTGGAGAGAGGTGAGTCCTCTGTGGTCGCTGGCATAATAAATGACCCTGCAATCTGGCATACTTTTGTCTTGTGGTAACTTTCTACGCTCCGGTCAAATACAACAAAATGGTGATAAATATTATGAAAAAAATTAAATATGACTATATGTTTAATACTATTCTTCCTCTAGATGTTGGTATGTGAAGAGAGGATTGAGAGGAAACCTAGTCCACAGGCTGAAATTGGCAAGTCAGCCAGATAGAAAGCCTGGGCATAGTGACCCACACATGTAATCCCAGCACTTTAGGAGGTTGATACAGATGGATCACTTGAGGTCAGGAGTTTGAGACCAGCCTAGGCAACATGGTGAAACCCTATCTCTATTACAAATACAAACAAAGCTGGGTGTGGTGGTGCACACCTGCAGTCCCAGCTTCTTGGGAGGCTGAGGAACAAGAATTGCTTCAAACCGGGAGGTGGAGGCTGCAGTGGGCCAAGATCGTGCCACTGCACTCCAGCCTGGATGACAGAGCAAGACCCTGTCTCCAAAAAAAAAAAAAAAAAAAAAAGCTGGGTGTGGTGTGCACGCCAGTGGTCCCAGCTACTCTACTCGGGAGGCTGAGGTGGGAGGATCACCTGAGCTCAGGGAGGTCAAGCCTGAAGTAAAAAATGATTAAGCCACTGCACTACAGCCTGGGCAACAGAGTGAGACCCTGTCTCAACACATACATACATACTATGAAAAGTGAGTGGAGGTATCTTTAGATTGCATGGTCCAGGAAGATATATAGTAAGCACTGTATTTTACCTACTTAACTGCTCTTTTTCCTTTTTCTTTTCTTTTTTTCTTTTTTTGAGACAGAGTCTTGCCGTGTCTCCCAGGCTGGAGTGCAGTGATGCGGTCTCAGCTCACTGCAAACTCCACCTCCTGGGTTCCAGTGATTCTCCTGCCTCAGCCTTTGAGTAGCTGGGATTACAGGGGCCCACCACGCCTGGCTAATTTTTCTGTTTTTACTTAGTAGAGACAGAGTTTCACCATGTTGGCCAGGCTGGTCTCAAATTCCTGACCTCAAGTGATCCACCCCCCTCCGCCTCCCAAAGTGCTGAGATTACAGGCATGAGCCACTGCGCCTGGCCCTTTTTTTTTTTTTTTTTTTTTGAGGAGGAAGAGGGGACTGGGTCTGGCTCTATCGCACAGGCTAGAGTGCAGTGGCACAATCACAGCTCACTTGAGTAGTTAAGACTACAGGTGAGCATCACCATGCCTGGCTCCTCTTCTATTCTAGCATAATCTTTTTTTTTTTTTTTTTTGAAGAGTCTTGCTTTGTCACTCAGCCTGAATGGGGTTTCACCATGTTGGCCAGGCTGGTCTTCAGCTCCTGACCTCAAGTGATCCTCCCCCTTGGGCCTCCCAAAGTGCTGGGATTACAGGCATAAGCCACTGCGCCCCGCCACTTGCAGAATCTTCATTTTGTTCTGGGCCCAAGCTCCTCCACTTGATTGGTCTACTTGACCATAGTGTTCCCATTGCCTGGGCCATTGATTCGTTTATGAATTAGCATGTTCTCTTGGTAATAAGTTGGAGGAAGTCTATTGGAAATTTCTGGAAATGTCCTTAGTTCTTTAAAAAAGTCACGTGGTTGTTCATTCCTGTAATCCCAGCAGTTTTTTTTTTTTTTTTTTTTTTTTGAGACAGAGTTTCACTCATGTTACCCAGGCTGGAGTGCAATGGCGCGATCTCGGCTCACCGCAACCTCCGCCTCCTGGGTTCAGGCAATTCTCCTGCCTCAGCCTCCTGAGTAGCTGGGATTACAGGCACGCACCACCATGCCCAGCTAATGTTTTGTGTTTTTAGTAGAGATGGGGTTTCACCATGTTGACCAGGATGGTCTCGATCTCTTGACCTCGTGATCCAGCCGCCTCGGCCTCCCAAAGTGCTGGGATTACAGGCTTGAGCCACCGCGCCCGGCAATCCCAGCAGTTTTAGAGGCCGAGGCAGGAGTGAGGGAATGTGTTCTTTTTCTGGGTTCAAAAGGGGGTGTAGCTTTAAGGGCGAGAATTTTCCGGCGCCATGCCCCCCTCCCATCTTTCTTCTTCCGGGAGATTAAACGGTTTATTCGCTGGCGTGGGAAGAAACTAAAAGTTAATTACTCCAGTGGAAGTTCTTAGGAAACTCCTTTCATTGGCCCAGGGTTTTGGAAAGGTGGGGATTTCTCCCAGGATAAAAGTCCATGCTCCTTCACCTGCACGGAATTTC